TTAACGCTCCAAACGTTTTGACAAATTGTGGATAGGCTGTCCACTCTCATCACAAATTGTTTCACTAACACCAGGTCTCCTGCTGCCCGTTTCCCGTATCAGACGGAATAACTTGCGATGGTTGCCAAGGGCAGCGGCCACTTCCATCTCTGACGCACGATGAGACCACCAAGATTCGCGGTCTCTCTTCAGGCTAGCGCGGAGTTTTGCCCGGAGCTCTTTGCGAGTTTCATTGTGCTCGCTTCCAGCCGGGATATGCCGGCGAGCGTCGATAAGTTCCAGAGACTGTGAAGAGACCCAATGTCCATGTTGGCTTTTAGACATACCACATGAGGATTTGCCTGCTGCTAGTAAGGTCTGGCGAACATGTGACCAGTGACCATCAATTGTCTCCAGTGAGCGATTACTCAACTCGCATGTCAGCGTACTTCGATACGCATTCAGAACAGCTGGCTTTGTCAGTTGGCTGGTGTCAATGCGCTCACAGCGTCGTCGTGGGCGTCCGCCAAAGCGCATCCGCATGTCAGCACATACAAGTGCATGATCGGTGTCCACACATGTGCTCCAAACCGAGCGACAATTCTGGATGCAACCTCTCCAGCGGTAACTGATAGCAATGTGATCGATCTGCGTCCAAGGCTGGTTCGAGGCTAGTGGGCGCCAAGTCACCCTCCGGCGGGTGCTGTGTCGGAAATTAGTGCTCACAAGAAACAAGCGAGCATCTTTACACAAATGAAGTAACCGCTCACCGTTATCATTACGGGTGCCTACACCGTGCTGACCGCCCAGATGCACTTCATCTGTGGATAATTTTCCAACTTGTGCGTTCATATCCCCCGCCAGCACAACAGTGTCCGTGCTTCTTCTGTGGCGAAGGAGCTGAGTCAGTTGGCGGTAGAAGTCGTTCTTTACCGAATCATCGCTACAGTTTGTGGGCGCGTAGGCAGCGATGATGCATAGACATCTATTAGTCCCGCGCGACTTCGAAGCTTTAAACGAGCCAGCCAATCGGACCGTACACATCCGGCTACTGAATGGAATCCAATCAACCAGAGCAGCTTCAGTCCGGGGACTCAGGGCAATGCCAACACCAGCTTGGCCGGTGCTCGAAGCTGCATCGTCACCGGATAGGCGCACTGGGAAAATACTGCTTGCGTCACCTGAAGGGGATCGCAGAGTGAGCACAGTCCTCGAGTCTTGCAGGCGGGTCTCTGGTAAGCAGCAGATATCGATCGAGAGGGTCTCCAATGTTCGGGCAAGTACTGCCTGTTGACCGATCTGTAGTAGTGTGCGTACATTAAGGCATGCCAGTCTGAAGGAGGATCGAGGGCTCCAAATGGAAGTCGATGAACTGGAATGGACCGCTTGGTTGGACATGGGCTTGTCGACAGGAGAGGAGTGACGCTCCGCGTTCACATGCGAGTTGAAATTAGAAAATAAATGCCTAGCAAAGCATGTTGGGGAAGGGCCAAGAATCGGGGGGTTGAAAACTGGGGGATAAAAGTGAAGTTGGAACGGGATGGTAAGAGTGAAAAAGCGTAAGATGGGGAATAAGAAGGCGGGAAGGCTTGAGCAGTAGCATCCAAACCCCTATCCACCCTGCTCGATGCAGCAGATAGGGCACCGTTGATTATCCTCTGCGGTGGCCAGAGCATCAGCAATTTGTTTGAGGTAAGATTCATGGTATTGCGTGGGCAGGATACTGTCAGGTTGCCGAGGCCTAGACAGGAGAACGATTAGGGTTCTCAACCAAAGCCTTTGGTTCAAAAACCTGACCGCAAGGCAGGGGGTTTGGCGTTGGGCTACAAGGAGTCCGTTTTAAGGAATAAGGTGCCACCCTCATTCCAACCCCCAACCAGGAGGCTGAGTTTGTCTGGCCTCTAACCATTGACCAATCTGGTATGAGTGACTCTAAAAGTGCAAAAATGCACCACCAAGCATAGCTCAATGTATCGCTGAGGCACACAAACCATCGCACCACGGTAAGGTCCAGTCTCATTGCGATGGCTGGCGTCCGATAGTTGTTGTGGGATGGTGGCTGCCGATGGTTCTACTCCAGTGGTACTTCGGTTACTGTCAATTAAGCTGGGAATTATAGAAGGAAGGTTAGTAATGGGGGTCGGGATGGGAGTAAGGGAAACAGGTGGAAACGAAAGAAGGGAGGCGCCATCGGTAGCATGTTTTCGCTTATCCGTCCTGCTGTATGGAGCGGATAAGGTGACGCTTGATAATCCGCGCGACGGCCGATGCAGGATGAAGTTTATGTTTGGAGGAGATGTCATGGTTGTATGTGGGCTGAGATACTGCCAGGGCGTCCAGACCTAAGCAGGAGGATGGTTAGGGTCTTCATTCAATGCCTTTGGCTCAAAGGCCTGTCCGCAAGGCAGCGGGGAGGTAGCAATGATTTAGTTTTACAGAAATGGACGCCATTCCATTTCAAACCTTAACCTGGAGGACCAGCTGACTGAGTTTGTCTGAACCCTCACCATTGACCAGCCTGGTAGGAGTAGCTCTCAAGGTGCCCGGAGGCATCACCCAGTATAGCTCAATGGGTCAAGGAGGTACGCAAACCGTCGCACTACACTAAGACCCAGTCTCGTTTCGACGGGCAGTCCGCTCTACACTGGTGGAAACGCTTTTTGAACCTGGCACAGCCACGAGGACCGTTCACCTCTTCGATAACGTCCAAGCGTCTCCTGGAGCCATGATAATCGTGGTGGCGATTTTTCGACCATTATAGTTACACCGGAGTTAAAAGAGCAATCTCAGTCTCAGTGTAAAGGAAATAAACGCAAACTGGACAGTAATCCTGCGGCGGTATAATCGAACAGTGCAAATGCAAGATGTGTATTTATCCTGATCTAGTGTAAAGGTCTTCTTGGACACATGTACGTGTAACTTGGGGATATCAACCTATAAACACTGACGTAATTATGTTCGGCTAGTTTTTCAGCTGGAAGCACCTCACACCTGCATCGTGAGATTCCGCATGGTAACACAGCGTCATCTAGTCCACGACGAACTTGAACATAAATGGGGAAGTTGGACGACCCTGTTGCTCGCTACTTATTGTGAAAGGTATTACACTATATTTTTGACTTATGAATAAAATCAGCTAGCACACTGATCAGCTTGCCATCCGACGTAAATTGTCACTTGCGGGCCCGCCAAAAACCCCCGTAAAAACGCGCCAGAAACCCCGGCAGAATGGGAAGCGGGGTCCAGTTACTCCCCACAACGTAGCAGTGACCAGCCACTCCGAGACGCGGCCCAACTACTCACCTTTTGACAATGGCCTTTTACACCTCGTCATGGTAGAAATTTTCCCTTACTTAATGACCCATAGCATTGGCTGTGATTCGCCCTTTGTTGGTCGTAAAAGAGCCTTCAGAGGACCGCCTATCTTTCTTTACTCTTCGCCTTACTTGGGAGTCGGTCGGTTCACGTGATTTTGTGTGCGTCGTTAACTGGCCATCCTTCGCGTCTAAGTCATTAGCGCGCGTCTATCGCAACCCCCTCTCATGTGCGTCCGTTCCGAGGGCTCAGCGTCTATCCGAATACGTGCGGCTAGGATCGTTCACACGCTCGCTCAATTTCCGTCTCACCGGCTAAGCTAACGTCATCAGGTCAGCGCAACTCCGTTCCATTGGCCAGCGTTACAAGCCGTTATCGTAGGCGTTTTCCAACCGTGTCAGCGACAATCTTATCAGGCAATTACACAATCATATCAAGAGGCGTCCCCTCAATTATAGCAGTCGCCAACCAATATTACTGGAACGAACGTCGTCACCAAAGAAAAGTCGTTTTGACAGCCCTTTCGCGTTTGTCTTGCTCTCCATCTTTTCATAAATCTTCTTTTGAACTTCGGCACGATGTTATATGAAAGAAGGCATCGCTAATGTTGCTTCAGTTCTTTTGCATTCCGTTGATCGATTCTAATTGGGGCACCAAATTACGATCTACTTCGCTGCTCACTCGCGACGCTAACATCCACAAAGTAGATAGGTGAACAGTTATTGGCGTCAATCGAGCGGAACCTTCCACACTGTATCGGTGGCAGTGCACTTATTCCCATTTGCCATCAACATTGCTGCACTTCCTTCCCTTCAGCGAGTGCTTTTAGTCTATTTGTTTGTAGCCGAAATTTGAATCCATAGGCGCAAGGGTTTCCTTCTGATATGCTAATCATTTACGCGACCGGTGGAATTGCAACGCACCTCTTCGCTCACCGATGTCATAGTCAAACTATTTCTACGCAGAGTTGCATTACTTTTCGACTATTTCGATCCAACCTCCATGGTTTGTTGTTTCCTGTACCCCAACGAATTGTTTTCTTTTCCTACTCCAAAAACTCTATTCTTCACTCATATTTCGTTTTCGCCTGCTATTGCTTTTTGTGTTTATGTCTCCCCGACTAGGCGATGTCTGTAATGCCCCAACCTACTTTCTCAATTCTGTGTTCTCCGCTGCGCACTGGTGACCGATCTTCATTATGCAGTCATCGAGCTGGTATTCTCATCCTATAGCATACCTGGTGAGGGACATTGGGCTTTGCGTTCGTTTCCACCTCAATTCTTATTCGGACTATTATGCTCATTTCGGTACTCTATTTCTTAGTGGTGTTGCCTTATGTATCACTCCATCTGGTGACAAGTGTGACTGTCCATGTCTGGCCGAGTTAGACGCCGTTTTGGCCGAGCATGTGGTTGGCCACTGACTTGAGCGACACATTTTTCATTACCAGCACTTCTAGTCAAGAGTAGCCCAGGTGTTTATTATGCTTGATGAATTCTTTAGTTTTCAAGACCCATATATCCTTGTGGTTATCCTAGGTGTATCATGTTTTACTGCTTTCCGAACGTGTCAAACAAACCAACTTGTTCCGTCAACAATTTGTTACTCTGTCATTACAAAATTGCTTACCTCTGTATGTTATCTCTATTCTTTCCATCCTCATGCTTTGTGCGCTTAAAGGTTGTTTGCTTACGTGTACACTGCAGGAGGCCAAACGGGCAGCCATCGAGGCAGACGCGAAGGATGCTCGCCTAATGAACCGTCTATCGCTTCTCGGATCAGAGGTAAAACTGTTACCCGAAGATGAAGCTGATCGAGACGCTGCGGCCCTTCTACGGCTAGCAAACCCCACAAAAGGTAATGTTTTTCTTGCGTCTTTATACGCGGTTTTCCTACGACCATTTTGAACTTGATCTGTAGTGTTCTGGTTGCTTTTGACACACGATTTCACCTCTTCGCAGTTTACTTTCGTCAGTAGATCTCTAACAGAGCTCATACTGAATAACGGATTTACGTTTTTGCTTGGAAATTACGCATTGATAAGACACATCGGACAAAACATCTGCGTATACCCGGTCGCTTAGTTGCTGTGGTTTCATGGTTCTTGGCTTTATTATTCTAGTGAAACGACTTTTTTGGACACACAAACTCTTTGATTTCAACCTATTTTCACTGAAGCGTTTAGCAGTAGGACAAATAGAACCTTGTAACCTTCGGCACACCTACCATTTCATCGATGCGAGATAATGTACCACATCGCCGTATGTAGACGCGACCCTAATGGCTGTATCCACTACCAAGTAACACGTTCGTAATTTCACTTTCTGTTCCTATTTCGTCAACCTTTGTCTTCCTTCCTTCCATGATCAATGATATCGAAATTATCTTGTTTTCATAATCCACCCTATCCTCTCAGTCATCGTAGTATCCGCTGAACATGCAATCGTAGGCTAAGGGATGCCTCCACCTCTCTTGCTTTGTACCATGGTCAAGTCGGTGCCAGTTACCTTCGCTTTGGCAGTTTTACCCCTGCAAACTGTTTTGGGGCTACTGCGTTCTCGGATGCACAATCAGTCTATGCATCGATTGTGCCACACTACACATGCCGCTACCTTCTATTCGATTAAGGTGTCTTGTGCTTCTTTCCGCTGGGTTGCCTTTGTCGGGTAAAACACTGAATTGTCCATCTTTCATCAACTTTCATTCGCTTTCAACCCTACTGATCGATCACCTCCACTGGGTTATTAACCCGACGACTCAAAAGCGAAGGCCTAAGCCGTTTACCGCTAGAAAATTACAAATAAGTTTTCCAGACTACTGCGCAGTTTGTTTTCAATCAATCTGCAATCCACCAGCGACAGCCACGGTCCGGCAGTAGCGTCTCGTCGTCCCATAAGATGATTGTTTATCATACTCTTTAGGCGGACAATGTTAACTAGTATACTCTGTTTTGCATGTGAGAGGGGCTTTACTTACAAAATCTGTAAATATTTTGATCGTTCCCTATGTAAGAATAGCCTTTCGCATCGTCGAGAATTAAGAGATTTTATCGATTTATCTAAAAAATGCAGTCATATAAAATGTGGAGTCTTGCGCCAGCGCGATTTGGGCTGACGCGCCGTTGTGTTTTTATTGTGGCTTATCTCGTCGGATTTCTTGTATTCGGCGAATGCATTACATTGTAATCAGGGCCAGAGACTCACGAGTAGAACGGCATTTCATTTGCATGAAGGAATGCCCACTTTATTTCAACCTTTCTCATCGTAAATTCCTTTTGACTGTGTCGACGCACAATATACCATTTCGTTCCTGGGAAATGATCGTTCAGTGCCGATTGGTCGACCGTGTTTGACGTGGTTTCACAGCCTTATTTGGCAAGCGCTCGTTGGTTACTCCATCCGCGCTCAGTTTGTACACTGCACGTTTATCTTTCACACCGTGGGTACTGCAGCCGTTTCCGTCGCTATTTCTCATTGACCGGACGGAAGTGAAATAATCTAAAGGGAACATAGTTGGCAGTGATTCCGTGTCGCTGCTCCCATCACTGACCGACGGTTTCGTCCTCGTTAGGACTCATCAGATGGGAGTTACCTCTCTCTCTCTCTCTCTCTCTCTCTCTATATATATATATATATATATATACCACTGCCAACTATGGGGTTCAACTTAGATTATTTCACTTCCTTTCGGTTAGTGGTAAATAGCGACGAAAACGACTGCAGCACCCACGATGTGAAAGATAGGCGTGCAGTGCACGAACTAAGCGCAGGTAGAGTAACCAACGAGCGCTCGCCAACTATACATGTATATGTATACATATGTATGTACGTAAATGTACATATCTTGTGCGTAAATGGGTCTTGTTAACTCCTGGCTATCAAGCGGTTGATACTCATAATATTCCATATTCGTTCGTGCATTCGATTCAACAGTTGGGTGTAATGATCAACAATTATCCCTGGAGCCCAAGTAGTCTACAACCCCTCCTCGCTTGGGAGTGCAGTTTGGAAATTCGGTGTTCAAGACCCAACAAACTTTGTTGCAAGTGTCCTACCGTTGGCTCGTCCGTGTGTAAACCGAATAATCCATGCAAGTCACTGACCAGCGATTAACATGCTGATGTTGATGCTACATGTTCTGTTTCATATATTAGTCACAAGAATGAGTGTAGTTATATTTCCCGCTGTACATCGCTCATACTGAAGTTAGGATAAGTCAGCTATTATCGAGACAAGGTGCGGAAGAACAAACGTTCCTGCTACAATTTAAATTAAAAATGGCCAATCATCTAGATTGACTTAAAAGTAGGTTAGTCCAACTATGGTGGTACGGTAGTGCCTAAATAAATAATTAATTGGAAAATAAATCCACGCAACTCAAACCATTGATTTGTTGCGAAGAATATCTGCAACCGAGATGTATGATGACAGATTGTTAGTAAATTGTAGGCGGTAAAATTACGATGAGAAATCCAGATTGCATGGGAATATCATGCGTTCAGCTAACCACCTTGTCTGCGCCATCTGTCGAGGCTCTTGATACCCATTATTTGTCTACCCTCATATGATTAACTATACAATGCTCAATGTTTTCATTGCAAATCACACCATTGGTATGAAGATTTACTCATTCCTTGTTTTCTCAGCCATGTCTAAGTGGTTCCATTCCAAACCCCGCTGTGAAGATACCATCGTGCCCACATACTCATTTGAGATATTAGATAATTAGATGTTGTGCAAGGTATTTCTTGTAAATTTGCGAAAACAGTTGGCACACTCTTTCGAAAGCCGATGGTAGAACAGGGGGCAGCGGAATTTACTACATGTGTTAGTGATGTGATGGCGTCAAGGGGATTATCAGGAAATGTATATTATCGTCCACTAACGCTTATAACAAACTGCATCTACAATACAAAAGAACCATAAGTCATCTGTGTTTTACGGTACATTTAGTTGTGCATCATTCTACCTGCTAACCATACTGATGGCATTTGCTTCCGTATTTCCACATCTGTCTCAATCTATTGTTGATACCCACACTTCTGACTAAGCTTAAGGCTGCCGTTTGGGTTCAAATCCAAACGCTACCTAACCACTGGCAGTCGTATTGACTACTTATAATTCCACGTGCGATTTTCTAAAACTAGAGGAATATGGTTGTTATTTTTCATTCAATCCAAACTCATGCATGTACGTAGGGTTATGGTTCATGATGGTTATTGTTTCTCCATCCAGTTTGTGCTAGTCCATATACAAGGGTGAACAAATACCCGTTCGCAACACTGCAGTACTGTGACCCGAACCAGGGACCTTTGGTATGTCAAATGATATCTCGCGTTGAATGACTAAGTGGAAGCCATGTAGAAACACTTATTAGCACCACACTTCAGCCTGACAGACTGATGGCATTTTCACTCGCGTAACACCATTATCTGCTGGCTCGATGGGACTCGCCTAAAGTACAAATCCCGCTAACATCTGTTCGTGTCTCGATACATTCCCACTTGACAGATAGATCTTATTACATTTCTTCTCGTATGACACCGTGACTTATTTCGGATTGTAATATGAGGTCAATGTATTCCATCTCAAGTGTCTCCATACACCCCCTTGTACTGCTGCCGCCTTCAGGTAAACGCACTGAAATTCAGATAAGTCATCAAGGTTGATTCCGGAACAGCAGCAATATGTTGACATCCAAATCGAAATGCTTGGGCATAGGTAGACACTGATGAATTGGTCGAGATATGTTAGCGGTCAGAACGAATGACCAGGGGGAAATAAATAGTAACACACGACGGACTGCCTGGTGGTGGTTATACATCCCTGTTGATTCTCACTCCCCTCGGACAAGAGGCGATCATAACCGGCTCTGATTTTACCTTCCTACACGGATAGCCTGCAGTGGACATAATCGCACTATTTCCCTGCTAACTTGAAAAGTTGCTTACTCCATCTGCGTCATTTTCTTTGTGTCATCCATATTCTATATCCCGCATGTAAGTCCCGTTTGGATACAGTTTCACTTTAGTATGATTAACTACTGACTCGGTGCAACGTGATATCTTTACTGCACCTGCCTAGAACGGATAAGCCACAGCTAACCTACCTTTATTGGGCTTAATTAATTCGGTTGTATTTCGCGATGACCACGTGTTGCCCATTACAATGTTGTATTCATCATGACCTATGCTATGCTATTCTTGCTACCTTCTCAAGTGAAGTCTAGTATGGTGACATACCGTAACGGTGAGCTACGGTATTTTTCTCTTCGTATTATTATTATTATTCGGCGGCGATTCACATCACTATGTAAACTCCATGGTATTACTCACCAGACTATGCTATCTACATTCTGCTCCTTGAAATCGATTTGTAGATTACATAACCGTAACTTGACCAGCTGCTCAATGCAAAGTAGCACGACGCTTAGAGAGCCGGTGCATCGCAGAATAATGGTTCAGTCCATCCATGAGCTCATTCGTAATTGACGTGCGCGCGGTGTTTCCCGGCAAATTGTGTGCTTGATACGGATCAATATTAGGGTGGCAAATTATTGTGTATGTTTCCAGTTCGAAACAAAAGGTTATCATCGCTTGACCACTTACAGTACGCAAAAAGTGTCAAGCTTGACATTTGGAAAACAATGCTCAACGATTGTCCCCCGTGTGACCACACTGGATTATGCATTCGAAGAGAAATTTCCTTGGAAATTCTGTGGCAAGTGAACAATCCCGACGATTAACCGACTAGCGATTATTATGATGTTGCCATTTCATGTTCCACTCCGTAGGTTAGTGATGAGAGTGCGCATAGTTTCAGTTCCAGTTGTTCCTCAGCCATACTGAATTTACCGGG